CAGAATTGTTTCTGCTTACTTGAATTTGTTTTTTAACCTTCCTCAGGGAAAGACGAAGATGCGCAAAGAATCAGTCTCAAATTCGACAGGATCAAGTAATGATTCTGACTTGTGTTTTGCTTATGGTTGGGTACATTTAGGGTTATTACAGTATTGACACTATCTAGATGATTCTTATTCATGGAATTCTGAAAAAAGCTTCGATTTTTAAGTGTCACTGTGAAGAAATCTTTAACTTGTCTAGTTGAAAACGGTTTCGTTTGTGCGCATTCAACTGTAGCTACATATAGCCATGGATTCTGTTTTGCTGCGTAATTGAGTTTAGAAACGTGTTCTCTAGTGTAACAATTCTCAGAGGAGAAAATGGTTTGTGTTCGAAGTAACTCTGGTTTTTAATGACCTATGTCTTCATCTTTTAGCTTCTGAGTCAATTCATCACTAGGAGGAGTGTCTGTGTTTTCATTGAACATATACTCATCCAAAACAATCATCTTCCCTTTGATTCATTGCAAATTTCACACGAGGCTTGGTTTTTGCTTGTATGATTGCATATTCTATCTATTGAAAGAAACCGATTCTCGCACATTTGGTTTTTGCTTTGTATGATTGCATATTCTATCTGTTGAAAGAAATCGATTCTTCTCGTGCATTTGGTTTTGGATATGGTTGGGTTATCTATGATCTTCTTTTCCATTTTGCAGGTACTGGTTATCTGTTGGAGCTCAACCAACAGACACGGTCGAAAACATGCTTTTCAGGGCCGGTTTGATTCCTCCAAAGTCTATGGTAGTAATGAAAAATGGATCTACAGACAAGCATGTTTCACCCATTACAGGTGAAATCTTGAACTGAGAAGTGTTGATGTAATGAGCAAAGAGCTAGCTTTTGTGTTTATTTGAAACGAGTTTGATGTAATGTTGTTGTTTAAGACGTTTGTAAGACTTGGTGAATTCTCAATTTGAGCATATGTATGTTTTTGGCTTTTTGCATTCACAACTTCACTTTTTCTTAACATATCACTTCAGAAAAAAAAACGTAATACGACTTATTGGGCTTCGATAAGAGGCCCGTATTTTTAAAATATTGAACTTGAGGCCCATACTTTCTGATTTTGAATTTGAGGCATATGTATCTTCTAGGCCTTAGGAGTGATATTCTTCTAGCTTTCTGCGTCTATACCTTCTTTTTGGTATATTTGCCAAACAAATGTGTCTCGTCTTTGACCCAAAACAAAAAAAAATGTGTCTCGTCTATATATACACATTTGTTCTAACTTAGACAAGTTTTTCGGTTTGTCCCGCATTTGTCATGTCACGTACCACACCGTGGTTTTGAATGAAGACAGGACAAACAAAATAGTAACAAAACTCTATACGTACACATTTTTTTCCAGTTTAGATCATTTTTTGTTACTGTTCAGTCCGTTCTTGTCACGTATACATTTGTCATGTCAGTCCCTTTTTGTTAAAATACAATGAAGATGGTTTAGGTAATTAGACGATAAACTATGTTAAATTTTAGTCATCTAATAAGAAAATGTTATTGTTTTTACTTTTTACCAAATGAAGAAGAAAAGAGGATGTTTTATTTCTTTTTCGTAATGAAATTAATTTAATGGTTTTAGCAAAAAAAAAAGAAAATAATTTAATGGTAGAATCATAAGGCAAGTCAGTCTTGGAAAAAAGCTTGGGACATTACAGCTCTCTTGGCCCAACAAAATCTCTCCCTTCGAATCCCATTAGAT